AAGTATACACATAAATTATAAATTTGGTAACTACATATATATATAAATAAAGGATACATTAGCTGTAAATAAAATGTATGATTATAAAATTTAATCCAAATGGGGCCCTGAAAGAGAATTATGACTATTCAAGGTACACTGAAGCATTTCAACACATACCAGTTTTTTGCTGCTTTATGAACATTTTACGATATATTTTTATTTCAGATTATTCTACTAAATTAATTAGACGATTTCATGCATAAATTAATTAAATCGACATAAGTATTTAATTAATAACTGTTAATTAACGCGAGAACACGTTTCTTCACAAAAATCTCTTTGACAAATGATAATTGATGTTTGCAAGATGGCCGCCGGCACTTGAAAAAGTCAAAATTTAATTGTTAATATTTTCTTTAAAATTAATTGATCTGTTGGAATATATTTTTACAAATTTTCTTGTATATAAAGTTACCAGATAAATATATAGCAAAATGATGAATGAATGCTTAGAATATGATGCTTCTAGAAATTGTATGTTGTACGAGTATATATTATATGAAAACTGTTTTTCGTAATCTCTCATACCAGGCACCTCTGCCTGACTGAGATATGAAAATAATGTATATATATATATATATATATAATATATGTATATATATATAAATAAAAATTAAAAAAAAAAAATTAATGTAAACATTTCTACAATTTGTGTGCAATATATGAATTTACTCATAAGTTTTGAAATAAAAATCTATGATTAAAAATGTTAATTGATTAAAATAAAAATTCAGCATTAATATATTGAATTAATTTATTGAATTAACTGCGATGAGTTAACAATGTTCTCAAATATCATTTGCCATAAGATTTTTCATTATAATTTTAATAGTTCTATTCAACTATTCAGTAATTCCCAAGCTTCATCATCTTCACGCTTTGTTACATTTTGATAGGTTTTGGTTTGATGGAACGAACATCTAATTCATCCAAATTGACAAGTTTAACATCAGATGCTTGATCTACTTTTTGTCGTGTACTTGCAGAATGATTTTTAAATTTAGTTCTTTCATCTTGGTCATTATTCTTGCTTTCTGGTTGTTGCTCCCAGTCTTTCCATGAATTTGCATTAGGAACAGATGCAGTTCTGAAATAAAAACTTTTATTTATACAACAATAGGAAAAAATATACATTATAAATAAGGCTACATCCTAATTGTTTCTTTGTGATCAGTATAATCATATATCAAGTGGTAAATATTCATAATATATGAACAATGTGCACACAAATTATTAATACCTGTTAGATTCTTGCCAACCCCACTCATCCTGAGGTTCTGATTTACTAATTGTGTAATTGGAGCATGATCTTTGATATCCACCTTCTGCAGCAGTATTAAAATTATTAGAATATGGATCTGATCGACTATTACTTGTACCTGCTAAACTGGACTGACTGCCTAAAAAGTTGTCTCCATTTAAATTGCTCCAACTCTTCTTAGTTATATCAGTCACCTTGAAAATAAAACAAAAATATATTATAGAAAAAGTAGAATTATGGTCAAAATAATAAGAAAAAAAAAAAAATAAAATCCATTAACAACAACAAACCATCTGTATGATGATAGTAACATATAATGCAATAAACCTTTGTTTATTTGAATCAAAATGGTTAAAAATAATACTGGTACTAATTCTAGTTCAGTTGTCTTTCAAATGCTGATCTTATTTCTTCAGATTGACAAGTTAATGCAGTAAATATTTACTTCAATTAGAAAAAAATTTAATATTGTCAATTGTATCTAGTTATACATTAGAGTGTATCTTCTTCTTTAGTTCTTAGACAGTAGATTTGCTCGAATACTTCCTCACCTTCTCTCCCACAACAGATGAAATATCTGAAACTTTTTGGGTAGCAATCCCTCCAAGTTTAATGGCACTCTCTGTCGCTTTGCTTGCTAATTTGGATGCACTCACAGAAAATAATGACCATCCCTAAAATATAAAAAAAATGATAAAACTCAAATATTTCATATAAAATATTTCTTTTCTAAAATAATTACATTGCATTTAATTTATACAATTTAAATTTAACTTATAATTTTATTATACTCACAGATGCTAGTGAAGAAATTGTATTATCAAGAAGCTCATTAGATTGGGATTTAGGTGGCGGATTTGCAGTATATCCGAAACCAGAATAACGTCCACCTTGGTTGGGTGGCAAATCTCTAAAATCATAAATATATTTTGAATTCAAAGTTGATTATAAATTTGATTCAGAAAAAAATTGAGGAGCATTAATAAAAATATGAATATTGAAAAAATGGATAACAATATATGAATATGCTTTACAGTAAAGATGATTCAGTGTGAAATCTGATGTTAATAATTATTAAATTTAAAATGTAATTTTACTTACGCTGATCTTGAGCATTCTCTGCTTGCTTATTTGCAAAAAATGCTTGCTTTTGTTCTAAAAATTCTTGAGAATTTATGTTTTGATAACTATTTCCACCTTGGAATGTTGAAGTTGAATTGCACTTCTACTTTTCCTAGTGGGACTGCCATGTGACTGTGTTCTATTTATTTGAGCCGATGATTTAGATATATCCCAATCCTTACCCTCAGCTAAACAATTTATCTACATAGTAAATTATAAAATAAATGTTTAATAAAGTTCTATCATACTCCTTACTTATAATACTTTCCATTATAGTATATCAATAACAAATATTATAGAATTTATTAATATTTTTCATTGTACCTTATCTTTATAAAGGGCAGCAGCTTTAGTGTTATATTTCTGATTGATGGTCATAGAGTCATCCCAATCATCTTGGGATTCAAAAAATTCTCTTGCTTTTTTATTGCCTCCCACCTTAAAATATGCATACATAAATACAATATATATATATATATATATATATACACAATATATATGATGATTATTAATATTTGAACTATTTACCTTCATTTTCTCTAGTTCTATATCTTTCCACTTGTCCATTGTGACAGATCGTACAAATGATAAATGAACTCCGAGACTCCTGTGTTTTTCCTGAACATTCTAGGCAAATCCAAATGCCATAAGTTACGGAGACCCATTGAGGATTATGCATTTGGCATTCAAAACATTTCTATTAAAATAAAATAAATAATTAAATATATTTGGATAAATATTGTTATTTACACTAAACACTAGTAACACAGATGTGCTATTAAAACTTGACATGTTTATTAACATATGTAAGAAAAGATGAATGAAAAATTTTTGATTTCAGAATATAAATCAAAGGCAGCAATATATATCTTTCATTTACAAATTATATGATTATTCTAAACTCATTATTATTTATTGTGCTAAACCGACGGTCGAACTTGGGTCGGATAACATATGTAGCGCAAAGTTCATCAAAAAGTATATTAAAACTAACTTTACATATGATATATAGGTCCACTATTACAAATACTTCTTGTCACAATTTACGTTTTAAAAATCACAATTTATTAAAAAGAAATAATGACCACCACTCACTGTATTTTCATCATGAGGTCTTAATTCTTGAAGAACTCGTCTAGTTCTAGGGCTTGCCATTTTTATTTATAAAATACAGATCGTTAAAAAATTGGACTAATTAGATAAGTAACAGTAAGCTCTATTACTGAACTAAGATGAAATAATATTTATAATACATATTTAATTGTAGACGTGTTCACTTTGGGAGCTTGCTAAACGTCATTATCTTAATAATTGTGTAGCATGATCCCATAGATATACATTTGTTCCATAGATAAAAGAAGAGAGAAGAGCATTGTTCTCATAAGTATAGATTGGTTTGTTTACTCTGTCAATCTGACATTAATGATGGGCGTTGCGTTAACGAACAGTTTTCGTTAAACGTTTTTTGCCCGTTAACGGATTTCGACGAAACGAATTAGCCGTTTCGTCGAAAAGGAGCAAACGGTCGAAACAAAATAGACAATTTATACAAGAACTATTTATATCTTTTACAAGAACTACCTTATTTTATGTGAAGTTGCATGAACTTCGCGATACGTGTAAATAATCGCTGGTTAATCTTATAAGAATTGAGATTCAGCTGTCTAATTTTTTGTTTCTTGTCTTTTTGAATTATATTCAGTTGAATTATTCAAATATCATTGCATAGAGAATTTATTTAGTATCGGATAAAAGCTTGCTTCCAGCTATATAAACCGACTAAATTTTGATAACCTTTCGGTTATCAATGAGTAGATGCTACATTTGATATCTTATACAGACCATCAGTCTATATCTTTAGATTGGCCCATTCTGCTTATAATGATTACGTATAAAATCAAAAGTATTATGAAGCAAAAAAATAATTTTTCAGAATATTTATTATTTGATACTTTTCGACTTCGACTTGTGGTCATCAGAAAAAATGAAAAAATATTATATAGTACAAAATATTATACAGATATAGTTGCCATATATCACAGAACTTGACAGCAATGGAAGATTAATTTGTTATTGTAATGCAATTGTAATTAATTATGAGAATTAAAAATTATTTTGAAGAGAACGGATATATTCGTAACTTTCGAGATAAGGCTTCTGTAGTATTCCATATGACCCAGTTAATAATTGTCCGCATTTATTACAAATCACATATATGAAATAAGTTAACAATGATATGCAAGGCATATATTTTATTAATTGTATATATATATATATATATATATATATATATATTAAGTGGGGCACTCACGGGGCATCTGAATTCATTTTAGAGATATGGTTTCTTCGGCAAAGTATCTTATTTTGATCCCTAGTATCCGAAAATCATATGTGCCTAAATGACTATTTAATAGATACGCCATGTAAATATATTTTTATATACATTATATATAATATATATATATATATATATATATATGTATAGTATATATAATAATAGTGATAATATTTAATAATTTAATATTTTTTCATTTCACAATTATTTTACAAGATCTAAGACAATAAAATGATTGCATTAAGTGTATTGAAATTTGCATTTTGCTCGCCATATTATTTGCAATGTTCCATAGAAAACTATTTCAACTAACGTCAACATGCTACACCCGAGGAACAATCCAATCGTACTTCCTAAAAATACTTATAAAAAAAAGAATATATGATACATATTCTTTGAAAGTTAATTTGATCTCAAACACAAATATATTCACACAAATATAGTTATATATAAAAATTTAAACATACCTAACATATCACCTTTGTCAAATATCACATTCCGCTTAAAACGAACACGTGGTGAACTTTGGAGTTCCCATCGCAAATTTGATCCTTGAAACCAAGACACCCTCTGCACACTATGAAATGTGTAGTAGGTATTCTCGCAGTTTGGCAAGCACAATGTATTTTGAGTTATGTCGTGTAGACGTGCTAGAAAAGTATATTTATTAAAATCATATATTTTTAACATGATAATAGAGTCAGCTCGATCCTAGCTTGATCCTAACTTTATTCTGACTTATATATATATGTTTGAGCTCACCTGCATTATTATATAGACATCTCATCCCTGACACGTTACAAATTTTTTCCCCTTCTAAAACAAAACGTTATGCCTTGCATAAATATACCAAAATATTGGTAATAATAAATATTTTTTATGGCCAATATTTATGCCTATATTACTATAATAATACATACCCAATGGGGGTATAAAAAAATTAATGCAACCGCACAGCTTTAGACTTTCTCGAGCTTCTGCCTCCATTTTGCAAATATCATGGGTGTATATAGGCCAGTGGTATCCAATTTCTGGTTCATCTGCCAACCTATGATAAAATTGTTTAAACAAGACCTTTTAACATAATTTGAATTGACAATTATTATTACTTAACAAACGTTTTACATCAAGTTTTGTCATATAACTAAGGTGACTTCTTTTTTAATCCGGGACAGAAGCTTGAGACTTGGCGTAAAAAAATAACAATAAAATTGAATCCGGAATAGAAAGTCTGAATCCAGGATCAACTTGTTTTTTAAAAAGTCAGGGAAATAAGGTAATGTAAATCCGGGACTGTCCCGACCAATCTGGAACCTATGGTCATCATACATATGATACAGTTGATGCTTTAAGTTCTCAAGAAACAAAAGAAATTTATTTTTCTTCGGGCGCGAGTACTTTCAAAAATATGTTTTATTATCGACAAAAAATTTAATAATATTTTATATCTACCTGCATTTCCGTTGTTCAATAGATAGTTTTTTACTCCTTCTGCACAAACGAGCGAAATTGCTTTAAATTGAAGAAAGCACGAATTCAATACTGGACATTTTATGGCACCATTTTTTGCTGCAATTTCGTAAGGACTATGGGCGTAAATCTAAAATATTTTCACAAAAATAAAGTAATTGCTTGTACATATACAATTTAATCAAACGTAAAATTCAAAAAAAAAAATTGAGATTACAGTAATTTCTTCCGAAAGCTGTTGTAATGATACATACTTCTTAAACACAATTTTTTTACAGCATTTTTCTTAACAATGCTAATAAACCACCAATTTAAAAAATAATACTTCATGAAAATTTTCAATTACCCAGATAAATACCTACATCATAGCCAGCTTCCATTTCCAGAATTTGAGCAAATGCATCGTTATCAAGGGCGTGCACCTTCATAATGTCCGGTAAATCTATATCGATATTCCTAGAAAAGAAAACTTTAACATGTTGCTTATGATAATATGCATAATTTTTTACCTTTTATCTAATTTATGAGCAATTTCACTATTAAATGCATAACATATTCCTACAGTTCCGCTGACACGAGATTTTCTTAAAACGATGCCTTCACCAGTCGTTGCTGGCGCTTTCACATCACTGATTATTTGTTTTAATGCCTAAAAATTATAAAATATCAATTGTAATAAATTTCTTATAAAACTTAATTTTAATTTCCATTTCTCGAAGGTAAAGATATTATTGAAATATTTTACCTCTAGATATAAATGACTGGGAAGTTCATCATATTCAGGAATATCAAAATGTTTTCTGTTATCAAATTGAATGAGTTTTCGTAAGAAATTTTGTAGTCCTGATGTGTTATTTATAGAATATTGCCTGAAAATTGCAAAAAATATAACAATAAATATTGGCATATTGATAAATATTAATAAAAATGTGTATGTTTCCTGCGAAAATAAATTTCAAATATAATTCATATAAAATAATATTGTTTCTTCAATTACTTCATGACTACAATATATGTGCACTAAATAAAAATCATAGAATCCGCGCATGCATTTATTAGTTATTGTTGATATTTCTTGATTTTATTTGAATACTCTGAATTAAAAGCCTCCTTATTGATCTAAAGAAATGTAAATAAATATAATTTGATCATTAAGAATAACAATATTTTAAAACTCACTGAAATTATATTTGAGGATACTTTGAGCTCAAACAGCTCAAAAACTAGTTATAGATAAGTATGGTTGGGTGTACATATATTGAAGAACTGCTCTATAGGAACATTTATACTTATTTATCTATGATACGAACGGTCTTTAGTTCGGAAAAATAATAATATAATTATAAATAATAAATAATATATAATAATAAATTATAATATGAAAACTAAATCACCTGGCAAATATTTCCATAGCAGTCTGATTAACATTCCAATGAGGACATAATGTAATTGTTGGAAAAGTTGTGTTCCATTCAAATCTATCTCGTTCCACGGAAGTAATAGTTGGGCGTTCCTCAAGGCGACTCCAGAAGTGCTTTGCAACGTGCATCGTCATCCACACAGAGAATATGCAGGTTATAAACCATATAATACTACACAAAAATATTTTATTGACATATATACATATATTTCCATAAGTATAATAATAATACTTATTTTGACCAGAGAAGGTATTATATATACAAAGTATACTTGTAACTTTTCAAAAGTAAGCCTCGATGTTAAATATGGTTCAAATTAATCATTTTTAAAAATAGATAATATACAAATTCAATCAATCAATCTCAAGAATATTCTGTTTTTTCTGTTTTATATCATTTATATAAAATTATTTAAAAAAATACAAAATTGCTGATCACAAGCTTCTACACTTACTTTTCGGACGGATGGCGACCAGGCTTAACAATATGGATAATACCTGTAAAATTATAAGATCTATTATTAAAATAATAATATATAACATTTTTTTAATCATATATAAGAGATATAAATCTATCAAATGTATCAGGTTTATTAATTATATGTTAAGCTAATTCATAATAATCATTCGACGTGATATAATTGTGATGAATAAATAAACTTTGGTAGCCAGACCTAAAAAAAAAATATAAATTTGATTTTCATATGCAAATTTATACATTCATAATATTTATATTAGTACTAACAAAATTTAGTAAATACGTGAATATTTAAATAATAGTCTATAATAATAATTATTATTATTATTCTTAGTATGTAACAAATATTATTTTAAATTAATTCTTTATTACTTACCGTGGCTCGATATTGCAGAAAGCGTATGCACCATATAATTAAAGACATTAGAAACAAATTCCTTTTTTATGAATGTTTGAATTGCCATATTATAAGTATATTAAAATAATATATATTATTTTAATTGTTATGTATTAAATGTGATGTGAAAGTGAACATAGGGTTTACATATCATCCTATATTTCTGTATTTTCTTAATGATTTCTTGTGGATAGATAATGGTATAGTGAATTATTTGTTGATAATAGCGTGTGGATGGAAGATATAATATTAACAATGAAGCTTTTCAGACAAAAATACAATAAAAATCATTTCAGAAAACTTATAAATGAACACTTGACACGCACGAATAGTAATTACATTAGTAATTACACAGTACAGTAACTGAATATATTTTTGGTAATATTCATACACCTTATATATATATATATATATATATATATATATATATATATATATATATATATATATATATGGGCGGTCCTTAATATGGACATTTTCGAATTTTCTTACTCACAACTTACTTCACAATCAAATCAAATATATGAATCAAACAGAACTAGTTGCAAATATTAGCAGTAATAATTTCGACCATCCGTCACGAAGGTTGAATTATGACTGATTGTGAGGTACAATAACCTTTTTTTATTGCACCCTCTATGGTTCCGAACCCGAAACTATTCAATTAGATAACAATTTTTGAATTTTAGTATCATCTGGTAACAATTCATAGTTTTGTCCCTTTTTGACCCCAATAAAAGAGGTTCGCAATAACAACTAAAATCATTCTGTATTTGGACCTCTCGGTGAACACTAGGCAGTGGTAAGTCTTTTAAAAAATATTTATGTATTATGTAATCATTTCGTGCATTCAGTTTCAAATACGTGTCATAGAACTTGTTTTGGTTGATTCGATTTGACTTGATTTTCTGTTGAATTATGATTATAAGAATGTAAATAAATTGAAGTAAAAATTCGTCTCTTTAATATTAAACGATTTGCGTTACATTTTCTAATTCAATATATTTGTGCTGAAGTGTCGCCTTAGTACTAAGGTAAAATAAATAACAACAATAAACACGTGTTTATTTGAATGTTGTGAATTTTAGCCTTCAAGTTAGCATAAATAATTTAATGCAATCTTTAGATAATTAAATTTAAATATAATCAAATAATATTAAATTTCAATATAAACCTTATGTTTCAAATATTTACGATTGACTACATTTGTTTTGTTTCAGATTTCATACAGTGTTTTGCGCAGTGGCGGATTGCAAGGATTTATTGTGCATGAATTTTTTTTTATTCTATCACATTGACAATTTTTAATTATTTTTTATAATTTTGTTAAATTATAATTTTGAGTTATTTGCGTCCACATTTTAATTTTTGTTTTGTTCGTGCGAGGACTTGTTCGTAATTTTAATATCGTTTAAAACGATTTCCGCGTTTAAATGTGTTCCTGTCGCCTACCCCCCACGGCAGGTTCTAGTAATTCGCGTTTCGTTAATAAATTATTTTTTTTCAATCGGTGTATGGGTCCTTGCGATGTTTTTCCCAGAAGCAACGCAACCCCATACACTTTAATTTATAATTAGTATTATTTGTACAATGTTTAATTTTTTGGAATTATTTTATTAGTAGCATGGATGTAAATAACTCGTCTAAAAACCTATAAACTTTGTTAAATAAATTACTTGTTTTTATTTTGACTGATTTTTCTGCTGCAATGCAATGAATATGTTTGAATTAAATCATTTAAATTTTTTGTGATTGCACAATAAGTCTCCTAAACGGAGAAATGTTGAAGACGTACTGTTTGAAGTTAAAACAAAAAAAGGTAAGATGATACAAAACACTAAATTATGTAAAAAAATAACAAAATTGACATTTATTTTAGTGTAAATGGGCCTCGACTAAAGATACCAGGGGGTTGAGTACTACAACGAACAGGAGAACATGTGTACCGATATGATGTACCAGAGCACTGGAATAAATACGAGTAGGCTACCACATAGTATTTACAAGTTATTGTCTATTTCATTTCTTTCAAGTCACTTTTCATTTCAGGGTTGCAGAATTAATTTCTCACCGCGACTGGAAGCACCAGGACTGCTAGGAGATTGTGGTGGATTAAAAAGGTTGAAGGAACCCTTTTTGGGGTGCAATGACTGCTACTTGGTACATCTTAGCATTGCGTTTACCAATATACAGGGTTTACCTTGGCACCCCAAACTGACTTTTAATAAAAACCGGTAATTATCTGTAGGGTGCGTAACTAACTACACGAATGAAACAGAATCTATACTTATTAATTTATTTAATGTTATCTATAGTTGTGTTCGTCGTAGATGCGAAGATATGACTGTATTTTTGTAGTCATGTCTTAAGTCTAAATTCTGATATACTATTGTTTTGGTTGATTGAAAAAGCTTGAAATTATAGATGTGTATGATACGGCGTGATGACAAAGGGGATCGCATACAATCGGAGAAGCCTCACTTTTTCTGGATTGTGTGTTCTTCGCCCATGGAACAACACACGCACCACTATACACTAATTCTGTACTTCCGACTCGATTGATTACCTCAGAGGACTGATTCATTAAAAAAATGATTGCGTCTTTGTAACGACAGCATGCAATGTTTCCAAAGGGTTGCACAACCTTTAGTGCAAACTACATCCGCCGCCGCCCGCCTATATGGTTCCTGTCGTATGTGGTCCAGAGTCGCGATAAAGACTACATACATCATTTCCTAAGTTAGTTTCTAAACTAAATCCCCACCTGCCTATTATAAGGCTCCTTTCGTATGAGGTCCGGAGTCGCGATCGTTTTTTAGTATCAGTCCTCTCAGGTGGTCAATCCAATACGGAGGACACAAGTTAGTGCATTAGTGATGGTTGTGATGTTGTGCCAGGGAAAAAGAACACCATCTAGAAAAATCCGATCGAGTTTTCCGATTTTAAGCCTTCCCCTGCGTAATTACGCCGTTCTATATATTTTTAATCATTTCTAGCTTTATCATTGGCCCATCGTTAGTACATTCGAATTTAGGCTTAATGCATCACTATACATAAGTGCGGTCAAGCTCTCGGATCTGTAAACATAACTCGGTAACAATCAATAAGTTGGTAAGTAGATTCTGTTTTAATTGTGTAGTTAGTTAAAATCTCCACTGGTAACTGCAGGTTTTGTTGAGTCGAATTAGGGCGCTAAGGTAAACCCTTCATATTGGGGAGGGAGTGAGATGCTAAACATACCAAATAGCAATCTTTACATTCTAACAAGAGCACCCTTACCCTTTCAGTCACCTAAATATGGATACCTACAGGTTTCTCGTATTCATAAGTTAATATTAAGTAATTAGACCTTGGTTAGGTTATAAGTATATAATATTTTTATTTTTGTTACCGGGGCCCCGTTTATATGTTTGCCCCTATTTTTAGGGGCACTTGTGTTTTTTTTTATCTCATTTCAGATGTTTTTTCAAGAAAATTGCTTACCAAGTGAGTACCAAGAACTACTTCCACAACCCATAGGAGAAATTGGTCAGACTAATTGATGTATCAAGACATAAAAAATATTGGCATACTGCTAAATAATATGTATAAATATTTTTTCTTTTTATTTCAGAGTTACATAATTGATTGCTTTTCGCACCACAAAGCACAAGGACTTCCAAATAACTGCTAGGAGGATACGCATATTTAAAGGTTTTTATCCTATTATTGTTAATTTGATCTTATTATTAGTTATGACCATACATTCTTTTATTAATATAACCGGGGCCCCGTTTATTTGCTTGTCCCTATTTTTAGGGGCATTTGTGTTTTTTCATTTCAGATGTCTTTCAAAGAAGACATTGTATTGTATGTCTATATGTTTTACCAAGATATACGCGAACCACCAAGAGACCACTACCGAATTAAAGGATATGTGCAAATGGGTACCAACAATTACTTCTGCACCCATACGAATAAATGTAATGAAAATTCTTGTTTACCTCTTTTTAGCAGAAAATATCAACCATTACCACCACTACTACCTGAACTACCGCCTACAACTGAATTGGCTGATATGACATAATCGAAAGAAAAATTAACTGTGAGATAAGACTTTCTATTATTATAGTAGTATTTAGTTAATATCAGGTTAGGGGGCGCGTTTTGACATTAAAATCTTTGGCCGTACTTTTTTTGGGTTGTTCGCGTACTTTTATTCAGAGCTCAAAAGGGTGGCGTCATGAAGGAACCTCTTATATTTTTCGCGCTCTTCTTTACATTAATTAATTAATTATCATTTGTCATAAACTTCATAGGCTGGGAACCTATGAAGTTTTTTTCCAAGTGTTTACATGGTGGATCTGGGGGGTACATCATGTAAATGCTCTTTTTTTTATAAATTTACAATCACGCTAAAATACTAAAGTACACATTTTATATCGATTTTTTTCTTTACCACGAGAGGTTCTTTCATTTTTAAAAACCGAAATTTTTGGGTACGTTAGGTCATTTCGCGGGGGTTCTCCTTTTCGCGATATATTCGGGTCAGTTAGGTATAATTAATATGTAAGTTAGTTTAAGTGGATTAGGGCTGCACAAATCGATACTTAGTAGTATTTACACTATATCCATTTCCATATGAAATGTTAGAAACGTAAATATGAATAGAAGTATCTATTTCTGTGGCGACACCACATTAAAAAAAAAACCCCATGGGTGGTGAGGAAAAAAGTTGCATCCTAATTAAGTACATGTAATTATCAAAATTAAAATATTTAAATCATCATGTTAATTAATAACATAAATGTGTCAATATATGTGTGCGCGTCACTGATAATTAACTAATATCGAAATATCTTAAAATAAAATTTTTGCAAAATAATCTTTGCTTTTTAATATGTGGTTAATGTTATTTTTATATTTTTTTTTCAGAACTTCATAAAGAATAATTAGATGCTTTCAGAAAAAATATTGTCAATAATTATTAATTTTGAATTAGTTAAATAAATACTATAAATACTACAATGCGAAAAGTTATATGGTTTTTGATAAAATATATTTTATCTCTTTGCATTGTAGTATTTTGTCAACCTCTAATTCAAAATCAATAACTATTATTCTTTTTA